GAAACGATGTACAAATGCGCTTTACACAATTGATGTGTGTATGGATTGGGATAACAGTTGTATGAGCCCCTAATAAAATGTTAAAAAAATAAATAAATAACAATAAAATGATCTTAATAAAAAAAACCAACCCAAACCTACAGACCTTTATACTGCTTAAATTCTGCATCATTTCCACGATACTTTCTGATGATTTCTCAACTTCAGATATTAACATCATGAATCTATAAGCGAATGGAAAATACCATTTAGCAAGAGTAAGCCTTTGAATATGGCGAGTCATTTTCAGAGCTACCATTCTTTTTGAAGGATCTTAGATTCAGTTCTCCAATTTTTTTTATATTTCCAAAGTGGTAAAAGATGTAAATGTTCCTCCATTCCTTAAGTCCTTTACAGACATGAACTATGTAATCAGCTCTCAGTATGAGCATTGTATTACTAATTGCAAGGTCAGCTGTTCACACCCACCCGCCCCGCCTCCAGATAAAGATGAGGCTGTCTGCTCTTGTAAAGATTAATAGAAATAATAAAACCTATTTCAAAATCTAGTGTATGATTTACACTCACAGCACATCTCACTTTATATTATTCACATTTATCTTTTATTTCAAGTACTTAATAGCCACACAGGGCTTGTGGCCCCTGTTCTGGACAGCCCATATCTATATTATTAACTTATGGGATGTGACTCATCTTACAATTTGTTCTAGATCTTACTACTTTCTGCTCTTTTCTGGACTGAGGTCTTTCAGTGTTTTATTTGTAATTGCTATGCATCCCTGGGGGGTGTACTGGTTACACATTGGGCTGTTAACCACCAGGTCAGCAGTTCAAAACCACCAAACGCTCTGCTGGCGAAAGACGGGCTTTCTATTCCCATAAAGAGTTCCAGCCTCAGAAACCCACAGGGGAAGTTCTAGCCAGCTCTATAGAGCTGCTATGAGTTGGCATCAACTCAATGGCAGTGAGTTTGCTTTGGGGTTTGGTTGTGGGGGGTCAAGTTGTATGTTTTTCTTTATGTGAAATCCAGGATAGGTAAGTCTACAAAGATGGTAACTGGATTAGATGTTTCCTGGGGTTGTGGTGGAGGAGCTTTTGAAGCTAATAATGGTACACGAATGAAGAAATTGTTCTAAAATTGGTTGTGGTGATGATTGCACAACTCTTTAACATGTTTCAACCATTGAACTGTGTGGTATGGGAATCATATGTCAATAAACTGAAAAAAAATTATGAGAGAAGCAGAAATACTATTTGAATGTGTTTCAATTTTATCAGGACTATCCATTAAAATTTTTATGCTAACAAGAAGGCAAATCTCCACATCAGGTTAAATTTTCAGAGATAAGATACACACTATATGTTTCAACTAAGGGTGTAATTATGTAACCAAAGGATAGAGAACAATAAGCATACTTAAACAATTATGTAAGGATATTAGAGACACAGCTTTTTCCCCTTTAAAAAACTTATTTTTTTATTATGCCTTTTCACTTCAAAGTCATCTGATTACTTAATATCAAGACTTCAATTTGAGAGATGGAGTTATAAAAAAAAAGAGCCCAGTCTGAGGATATCCTGTTTTCTCTACACGATGCCCAAACCTATCGAATGCACCCCGGGACGTAAAACTGAGCCCAGTAAGTGACTCTGCTCTTATGTATTAAAAGGCTTTTGGCCTTCGTAGGGCCTCTTTATTGTCTTAACTCACACCTTCCAGGAACTAACTGGTGATGCTTCTCTGAAAATCATGTGGGCAGGGTTAGGTCCTGCAAGACTACCATTCTGAAGGCTCCTGAAAGTTCTGTTCACATAGACACAATGTTAATGGTGTCTCTCTCTATTGAGTTGTACAACGTAGCACTGTCAAAGGGCATACCAGCAATCCTTTCTCCCGAATGAGGATGGTCATTGGGGTGCTCAGCTAAGCCCCCAAACGGTTTTTGATAACCTTGCAGAGCAGTCTGGACTTGGGAGTTATCTGGAGAACATGCTTTTAAGACATGCCTTTGCGACGTTTGCAGGGAAACTTCTTGGCTCACTGCAGAATCAAGTGGGCTAGAGGGCATTCTATCTTCTCATTTGTGCTTACTTTAATTCTTTCTCCTCCCCTCTTTCCTACATGAATACCCTTGCTCCCATTTCTGTCAGTCGAATTCATGCACTAGTTTTATAACTGTCATCCAATTGCTAAATCCTGAGAAATTCAAGAAATATCTCTCTACATTTTCTGACTCGGGGGAGAGGCTTTCATAATCTTTAGAGAGAAATTCCTTGCTGAGCAGTTTCTGAGGAAAATGTGGCTGCCACTGTCTTCATCCCAGACAAAAATGGCAATCTTCATAAATATTTAATCCCACATGTGCTAGAAAGTGGATTTTCATTGCTGCTGCTAGCCTTTTATCTATATTTTTAATACATGGTTCTAGTAACACAGAAAAACTGGTTAAGCCTCTTTTAAATATGAATGACTGAAGATGGGCCTAATTTAGCTAAGACAGGAAGGTGGGCTTATGAGTACAAACTGGGGTCCATCTCCATAATGAAAGGAAGGGCTGAGATTCAGGAGGGCCCCCAGTCCTAGATCACACAAGCAGTCTGTGATGAGCTGCTAAACTACCCAGGGACTCTGGAAAAAAGCCTAGTCGTCTGCAACTATAAAGATTACAGCCAAGAAAACCCTATGGAATAATTCTCCTCTAACATCGTGGGGTCACCAGGAGCTGGAACTGACTTGAGGCAATGAGTTCAGTTTGATTTTTTGGTAGTGAGTGTGTAGTAACATTCAATGAGATGTTAATGTGCATTTCTCTGGTCCAGCACCTTCTCATGCTTACTGGTAACATGGACAGCCTTCCTGTGAAGGGTCAGTCTTCTTGCCCAGTTTTTTCTTGAGTTGCTTTGCAAGTAGTAATCTTGCCAGAAGAAAACATAAAATGTTATGATCATTTAAAAGTGATCCACAAAAGTAAAATTGCTATATGGATTAAGACTGAGCAATTTTATAATGAGTGGAAAAATTATGAGAAACGCACTTTTCATATATTGTAAAATATCTTGGCTTATATTTAAATCCACTAACATTTCTAATTCTAATAAATTCTAACAACTCATGGAATGAAATACTTAACAGGAATCTTTAGATTGGGAGAAATTTGCTAAGTGACTGCTAACAACAGTTTGGCTCATTCCTTGCTACTAGGAAGCTCATTGTCCTGGGAGTTCTTGTTAAAAAAATCTGGAACTTAGGGCAAATTAGTGGGTTTAGAAAGAGAAAGCAGAAGAAACTATAAATAGCTAATGGAGAGCTGATTCAGGAGTAAAGCAACAAGTATGGGATGGCTTGCTTATGTAGTAACTCTTTGGCCCTAAAACATGTCCTTCTATATGCCTCTTATTTCTAAACTTATTACACTTTAGTTGTTTGAATCAGAATTTATTTGGTTTAGTAGGAATCATCTTTTAAATAAAAGATTCTCTGTGATTCATCAATTGTTACTTGGCATTCTTTTTCGCTGTATATCCTTTTGTATAATTGAGGTTTTTATTATATATGTGTATTATCTAATTTTAAAAATTAAGTAATCAAGTTATAAAAAATGCCCTAATACTTCATTGTGATTAGTCCAAATGAGGAACTGGGAGCTTTGACAGGAGGATGGAAGGAAACGCAGGGTTGGAAAGACTAGAGCTGATGAAACCCTTGGGAGTGTGGGTGCATGGCTAGAGAAAAGAACTTCTCAAGTATATAAAGGGCACACTGACTGAGGTGGAACACTCCCCTCCATCCTGACTGAACCTTAAATGGCACTCAGTGTATCTTTTAACCTTCAAGGAGAAGGATCAACATAATGGCTGTGACAGTGGGCTCAAATGTAACAACAGTGGGGAAGACCACGCTGTGTTTCATTCTATTGTACACGAGGTTGCTGTGATTCAGAACCAACTTCAGAGCACCCAACAACTCCTACCACTGTTTAATACTATAGTTCAGTTGTATAATGAAAATAAACTTGTGGCCTGACCTGAGGTCAGAACTACAAATCATGATACAGTGTGGGAAAAAGTATTTGGAGCTCTATTCCGTGATTGGGGCGGGAGCAAAATCACAAAACATAACCACAACCCATTTCTAGGTCAGCGAAGGCATGTAACAAAATAACCATAAACTCCTAGCGGGTAGAAGCTTCAAGATGGTAAAATGTGAAATGCACAGAAAATACTGGTCAAATGGTAAATAGGCTAAACACTTTTGGAACTACGTATTTGGAAAATCCAACAATCTTCTGCTGAATTCAAACCTTGTGGCCTCAGTGGGGAAACAGAAATCCTCTTTCCTGAATACTTGTACATATGTAATAGTTTTCTGCAGATAATGGCACCACTCGTAGGCCAATATGAAAACATTAGAGTACTGAACAGGGGAGTCTTCCATGTTCCTCTAGGTCCTTACTCTGTTAACTTCTCTGTGCTCCCGGCTCTTCCTTGTAGCAGCTATTGGTAGATATCATGGTTCAGTAAAATGTATTACCTCTCTGTTTATGTTAATCTGAAGAGGCTATTGTGCTCACCTTACAGTAAACCTTAAGATGGTCTCTTATAAATAAGTTTGGAAAACCGGGCCCAACCCTGCTAATTTGCCATACAGTGAGGGCTTGCATTTTGCTGTTAATGTAGGAAGCTATGCCACTGGTGAAGCCCAAGCAGAACTGTTGGATGTTCCACTAACTGCAAGGTCAGGAGTTCAAAACAACTAGTGGCTCAGAAGGAGAAACAGGAGGCTATCTGCTTCCATAAACATGTGCAGCCTCTAGAAGCCTGGAGAAGATTTACTCTGACTTGGAATTGACTGGCTGGCACTGGGCTTGGTTTTATACCACTGGCAGTTGTAATACCAGAGGAGCACCCGTGGTAGACAGGTTTCAGCAGAACGTGCAAACTAACATAGACTGGAAAGACAACCTGGTCATCTACTAGGAAATTAACCAGGGGAAAAACCCCACGAATCGCAAAATATTGCCTGAGATTTCTAGTTGCTTACTTTGGCTGCTGGAGAAGGAGATCATGCGAGAGACATCCTCAATGAAGTGGATTCACCACGGCCTTCAGCAATGGCCTCAAACAGCAGTGCTCATGGGCAAAGGGCGGGGCCAATGTTTTACTCTTTTCTGTATGGGGTTGAAATGAGGTGGACCTGACTCAAGACAACTTACAAAAACGTCATTACCTCAGAATACCAGGTCTTTTACTTTCTGAAGAACGAGAACAACTCAGGGGTGTGTTCTTTTCTGTAATGAATGATTTCCCTTAAGTTATCACATTTATCAGTGTGAATCTTTAACTGTAAGACACATATGAGTACTACTTCAAAATGAACCAACTTACTTGTCGTTTGATGTAGACTTCTTTCTTCTAGTTAACCTGGAATTGAGGTAATTTGCTTTCCCCCTCTTTCCTATATGTGTGTAATAAATAGAAGAACACAGGTTAAAGAGAAATCCTCACATTCTGAAAAGAATTTAGATTGCCAAATTTTAAATAGAAAATAATAGAGGGGAAAAATGAAAGACAGGTAGGAAAAGTATTCTGAAATTTCAAATGGGGAAAAAAATTTTTTTTTCATTCTGACAAAATTTTCAATAATGATTTTTATTACATTTCTCATTGTTATTCACAAAACCATTTTGCTTTATAATCTATAATTTCTGATGGCATAATGTGCCATCAGAACATGGCACATCAAGGAGAAAATCAGAGAAGCCAGTTTGATTACATGATTTAAAATATATTAGCTAGATAAAATATCTTAAAAGCTTCCAGTTTTCATGATTTTTTCCTCAAAGTAACAAGAAATTGGTAATACGAACAAATAGAAAATGATGCGTTTCTAGTGATATCACCGTCAAATGGAGCTGCTTGTAGGGATAAAAGGATCTGGCTCCTTGAATGTGTATTTGCAGTTTTGCATTTGGATCCACACGTTTATTCTAAGGAACTTGGTGGCACTTTGGGTTCTGCATTGGACTGCTAGCCACAAGTATTTATTAAACGTTCACAGTGAATTCCATCTAACATGCTATGTACGATATGACCAGGTGTCCATTTACTTGAATTCATTAAAAAATAAGTATACTCTTTTAATCTAGAAATTGTGAACCAGAGAAAGACAGGACTTCTCCTCTGGCAAAGAGTTGCAGTCCAGAAGCTCACAGGGCAGTTCTACCTGTCCTACAGGGTCGCTATGAGTGGGAAATGATTTCATGACAGTGAGTTGGGTTTTTTGGTTTTAGTTACAGAAAATAGATCACCCTTAAATCTTTTATTATTGCCCCTGCTTCATTCTCTTCTGTTCCCTCTTATGCAACTCCTATCTGTCATATGTTGGCCCTTCTTATTTTACCCATTACTTTCCTTTACTGTTTTAAACATGTACTACGCCCTTTTCTCTCTGTGCTATATCGCTACACTCTGGGTGACATCCTCACATGCATTGTCCAGTGTACAAGAACTGATTAATTATACCAAATTTTCTGTTTAACCTATTCTCATTGTTAAATAGTAAGTCTGATGTTTTTTTGGAAGTGAACATAAGACTTACCAGCCCTCCTCTTCTCTTAAACACTTGGTAATTTGGAACAATTTGTTAGACGGTAGGGAAGGCTATCGGCACACTATATAACTCTCAGTTCTCAGAGCTGGAGCCAGTCACTCCATGTTAAGCTGGTACATCGGCTCATGTTGAGTACAAGTGTAGGGGAGACACAGAACCAGATTTGTCTTCCTTTTGATAACTATAAATTAAATATTAAGTCTCTGCTGAAAAAGTCCAAATACACTGTACTTTCAAACAAAATGCACATGCCATCTACATTTGCCAACCATTTCACTCCCTTCTTTTTCTTAACCGTAAGATGTAACAAAAACTGGCATAGCCACCCTTATGATGAAACCACCTCCCAGGTGAGGCAGCAGATGGCAAATGTAGAAGGTGTGTGGCATGTATGTAAGAATATGGTATATTAAATACAGAAAAAATATGACGGAGGCAAGAGAATTGCAGGTGGAGAGACCTGCAAGTGCAGGGGACTCAGAATGAGTCCGGAAGAGCCGCAGGTCGGACGGCTAGCGGAGCACAGACACTGGGAGAGCAGGAGGGACGGAGGCAGAGGAGGTCTGAGCCACTAGATTACTCCTGGCCTTAAATGTCATGGTGGAAAGTGAGTAGCAGCACATAAAATATCCTTGAAATGTTATTTACATAAAAACTCTTATTTAGATACAATCCAAAAATATGTTTTGTACAATATTTTAAGAGTGGACCTTGTTAATATAGCTATGGCCTCATATAGAATTTAAATTAGTTCATAAAGTCATGTTTTCTTTGGAACTTAGGTCATCTTAGAAGATGTCTAGGATGACATATTAGGATGAGCAACGAAGTGATCACAAATCACATCATCGGGTATAGAATTAGGCATCGTATTCCTGTATTTGAAATGCTGTGCATGATATATACATATTGAAGAATATATAAAACATAAATATACAGTTTAATAGATAATTATAATGTAAACCAGTAAAGCTATCGCACAGGTCCAGAAAAAGAATACTGTCAGTACCTCAGACACCCTTGCTATATGACTTTCAAAAGAGCTTACTTAGTACTATAACCTGTAATAATTACCACCGAAATGTCAACTTCAATCATGTGACCAATCTTTTTATGGGCAAAAGGCCTATTCCCTTAAGTTCATATTTAATATGGAAATTGAGTATATATCCACTTAAAATCTATTCACATTTTAGTATAGAAATATTCAATACCTAGGGTATTTTAAATTATAAATAGAAGCATTCCAGGTACATATTAAAAAGAACTACGTAACTTGAAAATGTATGTATTTGCATACAATTTTGTGAATGAAATTCTACAAGTAATAGCTTTAAGGAATATAGTAATGATAAGACAAAGTCAAAATCATTAATGATCTTTTAATTTAAAAAATGGTAAAAAGTTTATAATCTCATGATGTGTTTCATTTAAACAAAATCAGGTTAGATGAGGAAATTTTCCCATTTCTCTGTAGCCCATAGTATGTGTTTAACATTTAGTACGTGTTTAACAATAAAAGATAAATTAGGCAATCACAGCATACATAAATCATATTTTATTAATTTGAGCATGCTTAAAGTTCTGTAAAACTATGAGCCACTGGTTCATGACCTCTTCAAATATTAATTAACTCTAGATTACTGTATTTTAAAAAATACATAACCTACCAGATATAAAATTACAAACTACCAGAGTAACACATACTATATATACTTGTGGATAAGCCGAGTTTTTCAGCACATTTTTAATGCAGTTTTTGTGGTAAAATTAGGTGCCTCGGCTGATATTCACTTCAGCTTATACTCGAGTATATATGGTGTTGCCAAAATTAAGCAAACAATTCTTTACAAAATAAATAACTTTGTATTAAGTGAGTCTTCCTCTAATGGATAAGTCCATAAATGTTTTGCCAACCCATTTAAAATAGTACAGAGAAAAGAAGGGAATAAAATACAACAAATAAAGGAAGCTATATAAAGATATACTACATGTGGATAAACCTAAAATGGACAACATGGCTAAAAATAACTTTTAGAACTATCACTTGCAAACTGTAGTGCAGCAGTACCTGAATTATGTGCCCTTTAATTGATGCACATGACAGATAGCTTGTTAAGGGGCGTATCTGTAACCAGTATAATTGATAGTAGCTGAAGGCAGTCAGGCCATAATTTTTACTTAATGGATAGGACTGTAAGGGAACAAAGTCTGCAGTAGCATTTTAAAATAAGTGCCTAAAAAGTTTACATTTATGTCTACAGTGTTATCTACATTCTATTCTAGCTGTTTCTACATTGAATTCTTTTTGAGAAAAATCAGCTACAGCCCATTCGTATATTATTAAATCAAAATCTTGATTTTTCCTATTAGCTAGAACAATCTTAAAATAAGTGGGAAAAGATGTTCAACTAACCATTTGAAGACCCACTTCTGTGTTCTTGTTTTTCAGACCTTGTGGGAGAAGCAAATGGGCTTATTTGCCAGGTCCCAGTTGTTGGAGAAAAATTTGAAAGACTTTTTTTCTTCTGGATGTTTGAAGGCTCAAATGACTGTAATTAAGATAATAATTTGGAACAGAGATACTCTTGATTAGTTATAGGTCTTTAAAATTACCTTTAAGAACTCAGCAAACTTATTCTTTTCAGATTTCAAATATAACTAATTTTCACAATCAAAACCAACAACAGCTTTTCAAGTTATGTACATATTTCAGGCCTCCACAATAATTAAGGCATCTTAACTTGGTATTTACATCACTTTAGCAGTAAACGGCTACTGTCCAGCCATGTTGCGAGTGTTTTGTTTTTTAACTGAGCAGGAAGTGTAGTGATGTTGTGGGGCAGGAAACTCTCAAGGGTGCCTTTTAAGTAGGGTCTACAAGGTGTCCTAAGATCACTCCTGGGTTCACCAAACCGAAATCCCTGCTGTCAAGTCGATTCCAACAACTCGTAGCAACCCTACAGGACAGCGCAGAACTGTCCCTGTGGGTTTCAGAGGCTGCTGATCTGTATTAGTTGCCACTGAGTTGGTTCTAACACACAGGTAGGTACCTTACGCACATCAGCAAGAAATACTGCACAGTCCTGTGCCATCCTCACATGTTCCTATGCCTGGCCCAGTGTTGCAGCCACTGGGTCAATACATCTCAAGAGACTTCCTTTTTCGTTGCCCCTCCACTTTACCAAGCATGAAGTCTTTCCCCAGGAGCTGGCTCTCCTGACATGTGAAAAGTATGTAAGACGAAGTCTTGCTATCCTTGCCTTAGCACTGTGGTCATACTTCTTCCAAGACAGATCTGTATGTTCTTTTAGCGCAGTCCATGGTACTTTCAACATTCTTCTCAAGCACCACAATTAAAAAGTATTATTCCTTCTTCAGTCTTCCTTGTTCATGTCCAACTTTCACATGCATGAGACTCTGGGAAATGCCCTGGCTTGAGTAAGGTGCACCTAAGTCCTCAAAGTAACAACCTTGCTTTTCAATAATCTAAAGAGTGCTGTGCAGATTTACCTAAAGCCACTCTTTCTGATCTCTTGACTACTGCTTCCATAAGCAGTGATTGTGGATCAAAGCAAGACAAAATCTTTGCACATTTCATTATAATATTTGACTGTCTTCTTGAGCTGCCCTTTGACATTTTCTGTTCAGCTCCTAGACTTCACCCTTTCTTCCATTGGCTTTAGCTGCTCTACAATTAAGAGCAAGTTTCAGAGTCTCTTCTGACATCCACTTGGATCTTTTCTTTCTTTCCTGTCTTAGGTTTGCAGTACATGTCATTTTGCTGGACTTTGATTTACAGAATGAAAAGTACCATTTTCATTCTAGTACTTACATTGGCTTTTAGTTCTTTTTTTTTTTTTAAATAGTTTTATTAGGGGCTCGTACAACTCTTATCACAATCCATACATACATCAATTGTGTAAAGCACATTTGTACATTCATTGCCCTCATCATTCTCAAAACATTTCCTCTCCACTTAAGCCCCTGGCATTAGGTCCTCATTTTCCCCCTTCCTCCCTGCTCCCCACTCCCTCATGAGCCCTTGAAAATTTATAAAATATTATTTTGGCATATGTTGCCCTGTCCGACGTCTCCCTTCACCCACTTTTCTGTTGTCCGTTCCCCAGGGAGGAGGTCACATATGGTTCCCTGTAATCAGTTCCCTCTTTCCAACCCACTCTCCCTCTACCCTCCCAGTATCGCCACTCACACCACTGGTCCTGAAGGGATCATCCACCCTGGATTCCCTGTGTTTCCAGCTCCCATCTGCACCAGTGTACATCCTCTGGTCTAGCCAGACTTGCAAGGTAGAATTTGGATCATGATAGTGGGGGCCAGGAGGAAGCATTTAGGAACCAGAGGAAAGTTGTATTTCCCATCGTTGCTACATCGCACCCTGACTGGTTCGTCTCCTCCCCAAGACTCCTCTGCATGGGGATCTCCAGTGGCCTACAAATGGGCTTTGGGTCTCCACTCCGCACAACCCCCCCCATCATTCTCTGGTTTTAGTTCTTTAATGAGACCAACATATATCCAAATTGATTTTCTTCTAAGCCTTCTAATCTCAAAATTCTGTGTGTGGTACACAGATCTCTAAGGATGTAAGTCATCACTAGCGTTAGTGGTTGGCGCATAAATCTGAGTGATAGTTGTATTGATCGAATTTCCTTGAAGGTGGATAGATATAATCCAATTGCAGATAGCATTGTAGTTCATGGTTGATTTTAAAAGATCTTTTCTGACAACGAATGTCACACATCAATCCTCTTGATTGTGTCATTCCCGGCAGAGTAAATTATGATTTTGTGATTCAAAATGGCCAATACCAGTCTGTTATAGCTCACTAACACTTAGGATATCGATCTTCATGCTTTCCATTTCTTCTTTGACGACTTCAAATTTTCCTAGATTCACACCTCGCCCATTCCAAATTCTGTTCATTAGCAGATTTGTGCAGCTATTTTTCTTTACATTGAGTCATGCCCCACTAGCAAATGAAGATCTCAAAGCCGCCACTCCCACAGACTTTACTCAAAATGATGACTTTTAAGGGTGTAGAAAGCCTCATCCGAAGAGCTCCCAACACTGGGAATCCAGGACAGATCAACTCCTCAGGATCAATAATGAGAGAAGCGACACTAGGAGGATAAGGGGAAGGTGGGGGAGAAAGGGGGAACTGAACACAATGATCGACATAAAATCCCCTCCCAGGGGCACGGACAATAGGAAAGTGGGTGAAGGGAGACAGCTGTCAGTGTTTACGACATGAAAAAAAAAATTTACAAATTATCAAGGGCTCATAAGCAAGGGAGGGAAGGGGGGAAATGAGCTGAGACCAAGGACTCAAGTAGAAAGAAAATGTTTTAAAAATGATGATGGCAAACAATGTGCTTGACACAATGGATGGGTGTATAGATTGCGAAAAGAGCCTCAATAAAATGACTTAAAAAAGAGCCTAATCTGGTTGTATGAACTGCCAGACCAACACATAATTCACTATGCTTGCAGGGCTCCTAGGTGCTGGTTTAAACTACAACAAAAAACCAAGTTCTCTGCCATCAAATTGATTCCAACTCATAGCAACCTTATAGGACAGAGTAGAAGCACCTCATAGGGTTTTCAAGACAGACTGCCACATCTTCTGTGGAGTGGCTGGGGGTTCAAACCTCAAACATTTTGATTCATAACTGAGCACTTAACTCCTGCACTACGATTCCTTAGTGCTGCCATATGCCTTTCAAAGTTGCACATAAGGCTTTGAGAACTTGGGCAATCCGAAGCAGTCATCTATGTAGCTTCCTCCTCTGTGCTCCCACAGACTGCGTATAACTTGTATTGCATTTAACCCATTACAATAACGTTTTATATCTGTCTGCCACTATAGACCTTAAGCACCTTAAATTACAGATCATCTCTTCATCTTTGTGGCCTAAAACTAGAAAATGTTTGGTGAATCAATGACTTAAAAAGATCTGCTTGTTAAATAGACAAGTCACTATAGTCAGAATATATGCGCTTGTGCATTATTTATTCAGCCAAGTGTCTATGTTCCCAAACACTAAAAACCACACTCAATGCCATCAAGTGATTTCTAAATCATGGTGAAACTATAGGACAGAGTAGAACTACCCCTGTGTGTTTCTAAACCTGTAACTCTTTACTTGAGTGGAAAACCTCATCTTTTTTCCAAGAAATGTCAGGTGGTTTCAAACTGCTGCCCTTGTGGTTAGCAATTCAACTTGTAATCCACTACACCGCCAGGGCTCCAGTTATAAGTCATCAGGCTCTGGATGTTGTACTTCAGGTCATCTTGCGATCACAGCGTTGAGAGAACTCCTTCCTTAGCTTTCCCAAGACCTGTCCTCTCTGTAGTTTAGGGTTCTTCCATCATATTCTGAACCTGCCATATCACAATATTCATTGCCACCTCTTCAGAATTCCCCTAAAATGTGTTTTCAATGATTACCGATCATCCAGCATTTGTTACATATTACATATGAATAGATATAATCAAATGTCCTGGCCTCAGAAAGCTTAAACATTAAATCAACACAGAAGAGGGCTTAGGGTAGTACATGTGTAACAGAAATTCAGAAGGAGAAATCAAAGTGCGCTGTAGTCATCTGCTACGAGAGAGTCCTGCAATGTGGAAGAGGAATACTCAAACACGTGACGAGTCTGGGGTCTTAAAGACTTGAAGGTAAACCAGCCTGTGCGATCACGAGGTGTCTAAGGGATCAGGCATCAAAGAACAAAAAATCAAATCATTGTGAATTAGGGCGAGTGCAGATCAGGGACCCAAGACTAAGGTGACCAGATTTTAACATTGGTAAAGTGGGACACCATTGACCAGTGGGGGGTGGGGTGGGGGGTGTTCTTGATTAAAAATTTGGTCTACATGGAGCAACAAAAATTTTCATAGAATGCAAAAATAGTATTGTAATATTTTTTTATTCCAACATAAGTACAATTTATAAATATAATACATTAAAAATTATGTATAGTATTATTTTATTCTTTGGCGTATTTCTCATTGGAGTGAATTTTTTTTAGCAGATTGTTATCGTTTAAAAGGTCATGAAATTTTTCACAAGAATTTGTTAAATTATATTTCA